ATTGAATGATCAAATCACTTGATTGTCATTACATGCCTAAATAACATGTTGGAAATTATGTGTTGAATACAAAAATGTTTTGTCTTTTGATTGTATTTGAAAATCTGTAGCATAGTCTTGTCCGAATGCATGAAAGAGTTAATTTCATTTTCGGATTCGCTTAATAATTGGAATGCTAAGAATCAGATTTTCTCGAAAAAGATTTTTCTGAAATGGATTTGATGAAATGATTCCATCTTGAAATATGGATGATAGTATTTCTATTTACAAAAAGTTTTTTCACATATCTTGACTCAAAGCAAACTCACAAATAGCATGAATCAAAGCAATCAACATATAATTTTTTCCTTTATGTGCTTGAACAATTAATTTCCTATCATTTCCTATTGGAAATAACATTTATCAAGTAAAGGCATGAAACAATCATCGCACTTATACTCAAAATTTACTTGTATTGTTCTCTTATCACAACTACCATGCTTTTTGTTGATGACAAAGGGGGAGAAATATATGAATAGATGCTATGATTTGCATTATGCCTTGTATCGTGTCAAGATATCAAACAAAAAACTTACATCGTAATTTTACGAGTTGATATCTTACCGTGTGATGAAATGCAATACTTGATAAAGTACTTGAAATGTGTACATCATGTAATGATATCAAAATCTTACTTCACAGTTTTATATGTTGATATCTTACAATATGATGAATTGCTACTATTACCATCATTCAAACTTGTACTGTAAAATTTGAAAATGAATGTCAAACCTTGACATCATCTTCAGAGAGATACATCATGATAGGAATCATGATGGGAGTACTGATAAGTTCAAATGATTTTAACTTATCAATATGTCTCTTAAATTCTTAAGGTTTTGAATTCAAGAAAGACTTATCTCAAGTATGGCATATAGACAGGGGGAGTTAAGGTTAACTACATTATCAATTGATTATCAACATCAAAAAGGGGGAGATTGTTGAATCTCGGATTTTGATGATGAAGTCAATTGTCATTTGTTGTCTATTCTATGTGTTGAGATAAGTGTGCAGGATTAACTACGATAAAAGTTAGACATGCAGCAGGAGTTGCGCCGGAGTCAAGACAATGATCACGTTGGGAGTTCGAGAGTTCGACGGAAGTTCGGACAATCGTTGGAGGTTCTGCGGGAACAAATCCGAGAAGTCCATAAGCTTGCCAAAGAAGCTCGTCGGAACTCGCCAAATGGATCGTTGCAAGTCCAGGAGTTTTCCTGAAGTCCGTAGCAGCATCACCGAGGGTTCATCGGATGATCGACGGAAGTTCGCCGGAAACTTGCCGGAAGAAGCGATTGACGCACCGGAGCAAGCTGCAGAAATTGTCTTAGGATTTATCGTAGTTAGCACAATGATTAAGTTGGAAATGGGAGGTGATCCCATTAGCTTAATCTTGGGGCATTTGGGCCCCTGAAAAACCCAAATTGGGCCGAATGGATCTACCCATTCGGACCTTGATTGTTGTGGGAGGTGCAATTGCCCAAGCCAGGAGGTAGCACCGCCTGGGCTAAGTCTCCCAGGGAGACTGGGCGGTGCAACCGCCCCAGCCAGGAGGTGGCACCGCCTGGGCTCAGTCTCCGAGCAAGACTGGGCGGTGCAACCTCCCCTGACAAGAGGTAGCACCGCCTGAGCTCTGTCTTCGAGCTCTGGCAGGCGGTGCAACCGCCCTAGTCAGGAGGTGCAACCGCCTGAGCTCGATCTTCGAGCTCTGGCAGAGAGGTGCAACCGCCCCTGATAGAGGTGGCACCGTCCAGAGGCTCAGTCTTCGAGCTCTGCCAAGCGGTGCAACCGCCCCAGTCAGGAGGTGCAACCGCCTGATCCTAGAATTCCGGGAATTAACAGTTTTGAGCTCCAAATTTGAACTGGGTTGGGGCCTATAAATACCCCACCCATTCAGCACTGAAATAGCAGAACTTACACTCGAAATCTTGATCTTTTTCTGTGATTCTTAGAGCTCAAAATTGTTATAAAGGTCGAAAGTTCTCCTCCCTCTATTCTTCAAAGTTTTGAGTTGTAAAGAGAGGAGAGAAAATTTCTGTAAGGGTTGTCTCCTAAGCCCGTCAAAAGGAGTGAAACTGTAAAAGGGTGGTTGGCCTTCGCCTATTGAAGGAAGGCCTCTAGTTGACGTCGGTTACCTCGTCGGTGGAGGAAGCCAAAAGTGGTGTAGGTCAAGATTGACCGAACCACTCTAAATCTCGGTTTGCATTTACTTGGAGCATTTTATATTTACTGCAAACCTCCTAAATTAGCTACTGCCTTCTGCGGTTTTACGAACGAGTTTCTAAGTTCAGAGCTTTCTGAATCTGCGTTTAGACGTAAATCGACTTTTTCGTACAATCATTACATTTCAGTTTACGTTTACGTTTTGATTTCAATCATAACTGCAAACTACCTTTTGCGCATTTATAAAACGTATCTCAAAGTTCACAGTATCTTCAAAATCTGCATTTAGACGTAAACCGATTTTATCGTACGAACGTCGCATTTCAGTTTGCGCTTGCATTCTGATTTTCATCATAAACTGCAAACTGCTTTCATAGATTTACTTTAACGTCATCTCGCTTAATCTTAAGTTAAAGTAATCTTAGAATCGACTTTTACATCGAAATCATTTTTATCAAACGAACGCAGCTTTCGATTTTAATAGTGAAAGATTTTCGCTGCACTAATTCACCCCCCCCCCCCCCCCCCCCCCCCTCCTTATTGCTCTTGATCCTAACACAAGGCACAGGGCATTGTGATCATAGTGAGTAACATAAAGAGTTTACAATACACATATAAGCTCATTCAGGAGGTGGAAAATTAAAATGCCTAAATAAAGAGTCAAATTGTCGATGAATTTGCTACAGCTCAGATAGGATTTGATCTTATCGATGTTCAAGTTGTTCTTGTCTTTGTTCAAATCGGTCCATTCGAATCTCAATATCTTCGACAGATGATGCAGGAGCTTGCCCAAATGAATGTGTTTCCTCAAAGGGACAGATCGGAGGAGATTGAGTTCCCCTAAAGACTGGTGTTTCCGGTTCTGGTTGAGGGGGATCGGTTCTTCTAGGCATTCTAACCCAGTTACCGTTTCTATAAACACATCTTAATCGGTGAAGTAGATTTTTATTTATTATGCTAAACCTATCTACTTTTATTACTTCTTCTTCCGATGGTATTGGAATATCGTAGGCTTTCAGTATTCCAGTGATTATACCACCATATGGAAGCATCATGTCTTTCTTAGATAGTTCTAACATGTTTTGCTGGATAAGATAACAAGACAGATGTCATGTCCTTTCATGATTCAATACATAGTTCCTAATTCTATTTGGCTTACTTCATCATGATGGTATTGTTTAGGGAGAATGATGCTAGTTAAGATATGATGAAGTACCTTAGTGTTTAGTGGTAATAGATGTTCATAACTTTTAGGAACAAATGCTAAGTTGAGATTGGCGAAAATTGTTCCTAAGGCTTCAACATATATTGTCCCAACAGTTTCATCATCCCATGATCCTCTAAAGTAAAGTCCTCTATTTTTCATGGGAATGCCTATCATGTCGCAAATGAATTTATCCGTAATGGAGATGTGTTGTCCTAAGAGATAGGTAGACATTATTTCTTCTTCATCTACTTGTATATTGTTGTAAAACAATCTAACAAGTCTTGAATAGATGGGTTCACTAATTTGTAAAATAGGGAGTAGATCTAAGTTTGCAAACCATTGGATTGTCTCTAAGTCTCTTAGTTTATTTAAATCTACATATTTTCCCTTATTGACACTCCTAAGTTCGAAAGAGGAAAACTTTTCAGCATGATATTTTGAATCAAAAAGGGTAAGATCAAAATCTTCCACTAATCTTCTCTTCCCTTTGTCCCTTGAGGATCTTCTAGACCCCATAACTACTGCTACTTAAGAGGATACTAATGAGCAAGAGTAAATGAATCAAAAACAGAATTTAAGGGGTTCTTAGATAATACCTTAGTGAGATCTTCAATAGAAGGAGAGATTGTTGATCTTTTGCTTCAAAACGAGAAGTATTTGGGATACTATGAGGGGTGAAATGGAGGTGGCGAAGCTTTGGAAGAGTAAAGAGGGGAAGAGAGTGAGTTGGGGTCGGTTCCACCACCGGCCCTAGCTCGGGTTAAAAAGAGGCAGAATTGCGGGCGGTTGCACCGTTGGCTGGGGCGATGCAACCACTTGCAACACGTGACAGCCGGAGGTGCTACCTCCAGCTGGGGCGGTGCCACCGACTACAGGCGGTGAGCACTTGTTCTGACTATAATGTGATCTGATTTGAATGTTTTTGACTTGAGAATAATTTTCATTCAGAGCAATAAACTTTGCTTACGTAATTACGTAAGAATTTTCTTTGTAAGATAAGAAATTTTACATGATCAAGATAGATCTTGTGACATGCATACTCTAAATGTTGTGCACATGTTTGTGACAGATTGTTCAGGTTGGTAAGCCTTGTAAGTTCATGACAAACTTAGTTAGTTTATGATATAGTTGGATTCGAAAGTAACGAACGGATGAAATTAATGGGTTCGAAAATTCTAATTCAACATAATAGAACTTTGCATGAAAAGACAAAACTGCATGCTAGAAGTAGCTTTAACAAAAGCATTATTCTTCAAGAAGGGACTTATAAACATCATAAAACGGATAATTCAACTATCAATAGTTAAAAAAATCAAATGAGAAAAATTTTCATTAGTGCTGTATGTGACAACACATGCACACAAATGAGCATGCACATACCGACACATTCATGCACATGCACACACAGTCACACTTGTTCTCATAAAGACACCACAAGCATGCACATGAAAATTGCAACTTTTCATATAAAACGATATCTACAAAATAAAACAAAGAAAAAGTTATGTTGGTGTTTTCAAAATATTCTATAACGAATGGATAAAAGATTACTCTTATTTACAATTTGAACATTTTTTCTGTTGAGCCAAATAATCCTGAACATAACTCCTAAAAAGTTCTTTGAGAAATATTAATTGATCAACAAACTACAAAATATGACTTGGAAAAGAAGAGAATCAATGGACCTTTATCACCAGACGGATTACATCCTTCATTGTATACACATACTCCTCTGTCAAACAGTCAACATAAATGCCAGCTTTAACATCTTCCCTAATCTGAAAGACATGACAAAAATTCAGAATTAAATGAGAAAACCACAGTCAGATTAGCAAAAGGAGCAAACCTAAAGTTAGTTCTCCACCTGAAGATTCTTTTGTGTTGGGTCCAAAAGATCAGTAATTTGCTCATTGTAGATCTGTAATCTCAACAATCAGACAGATTAAAAACTAAAAATCCAACCAACCAAGAAGTACATGATTTGAAGGTAGCATCAGCACACTTGCCTCCAGAAAGGAACAATGACACTGGTAATTCAGCTGCTTGTCGGAATGCTTAGCTTGCTCCTAAGACATATAATCCTGTAAGCATGAGTGGATCTAAAATACCATGGTGAGCAGGACTGCATAGACTACCTACTTCATTTATGCGAGAAAAAAGCCGCTCAAAAACACGTGGAGTCAAACCCCACTCACTACTCGAAGAATCTTCGGACAGAGCGCTCGGAGGTCCCCACATCGTATACGTCTTTCCACTACCAGTCTTTCCCGACAAATTCAGTTCAAAACAACTTATCAGCATTCTTGATAGCTAATTGAGCAGAACAAAGAGACTTGGTCATGTTTGAAATCACAGAGCTGCACCTACCTGCCCATACGCAAATATGGAACTGTTGAACCCGGCCAAGCAGTTCTCCACCAATGGAAGCCCGACGAGTCGAAATATATCATCCTGTTAAGACACTCAAGAGTTCAGAAGATGAGGACTTTAAATGTTAAGCGTTAGGAGGCGCTCGGAAGGTACAGGAGTTGAAGAGAGATCTCTAATTCAAAGTGCATATATACTATTTGAGACTCGCCTGAGTGGAAGTGGTATCAGCTACTGAGTCAAAGGTGAAGGTATGGTCAAGGATCGAAATGGAGTTTGAGGAGATCTTTTCTACAATCGGATCCCCTTCTTCCTCTCCCTTGCTTGGTGGTCGCACTCGCACAAGTACCTGATCCAACCACAAGAAACATGTAATTCGAAGACCCAACTGAACAGATGAAAGTAGGGTTTCATGAGGTCTCACCTGAACGCCCGAATCTGACGACATCGAGGGCGGACCCCATTCTCGGCGAGGGTTTCCAGGCTCAGCTTCCGCTTGAGAGGGTTGCCGCCGTGGAACGAGGGGAGAGGCGGCTTGGGGGGAAGCGGGCTCCGGTTCCTGGCGGAGAGCGGCTTTCCGGGAGACTTGAAAGGAGAGGATTCCGGCGGGGTGGTGTTGGGGTCGACGTTCTCCTTTGGGGCCCGAGGAGGGCGCTGCTTCTGCGAAGAAGGGGTCAGGGTCTCGGAGGGCGGAACCCTTCCACCCTTCGAATTTGCGAGCGCCTTCATCGAGATCAAAGAAGGGGGGAGAGAGGGAGAGAGAAAAGAGGAAGGCGGAGAGATCTGATTCCCTTGAGAGGTGGTGGGCGAGGAGAGGGGGAGGGGGAGAGCCGATTTGATTTGAAATTGAGGGGTGCAAATGTAATTTTGTGGATTTTTTTATTTAATTGAGGTCTTCTGATGGGGGAGCGGCGGAAGACTGGACGATGAAACGAGGGGTTTGATTTGGACCGTCTGATCGTGTACAGTTCCAAGGTTCCATTGCAACGGTCCATTTTCTTGGAGTGTTCCACTTCTCGTGTGGGGAAGTGAGTATTGTTTTCCGTTACAATTTATAATGGGAAAAGATTAACCACAGTGAATTTTGACCCACTTGAGCTGCGGCCTATACGTATAAAAGGTTGAGTTCATCGCTTTTCGGAAAGTCAATTCTGTTGGAATTATGGATGAAGAGACTTAAATTTTCTAAGTTCTCATATTTTAAGATGAGATTTCATCAAATGATAAATTTGTATCAATTAAATTTATTACCTCCTCTTCGATGGCTATTGACTCCTCTTCTTCGGACACGCTTGAGTCATCTTACGTTGCTTTGAGCGTTTTTTTTTTTTGTGTTTTCTTCCTAGCTTAGAGACAATCGCTTTTGTAGTATCGGTTTCGCTTTTGTTGTATTTACTTTGAGTAATTTACTTTTATAGCAAACTGCCTCTCCTCCTTATTGTGCTATTACTACGCCTACATACGCCTTCATACGCCTTCAAGTAAACAACTTCCGAGATCGGCTTTAATCGTACAAAGACTTTACGAAACCGATACTTTTCATTTATGCAATTTACATTACTACAAATCTCCTTAATCTTCTCTTGTACTTTTACGAAAGCTTTCAAGTTCAAATTCTCTTCGAAACGGATTGAATCGAAACCATTTTCATTGAAATTGGTTTTAATTGAATCAAGTCTTTTGAAATCAGGAAATTTTTTCACTGCACTAATTTATCCCCTCCTCTTAATGCCGCTCTTGATCCTAACAATTGGTATCAGAGCAAGGTTCACTCTCATTTAGTTTTAAACCCAAGAGAGATGGCATTTGTCGGCAACCAAGAGGATCATTCAATTACATGTCCATGTTGAATCTCAGATTTTAATAATGAAACCAATTGATAAGTGTTTATGAATTGATCTACGTTTTGAGTGACGTAGGATTCTTCAATCAGGATGAGACAATTAAAGTAGGAAGAATCATGTTAGCCCGGTGGAATATGTCAGAAGATTGGACGTCTAGCCGAAGGATCGGATGATGTATCGATAGAAGGCTTTGGGCCATGGATTCGGGCATCGGGCTAAGAAGAGCAGAAAGTACACCAAGGATATCAAAGTTGTGGAGGTCAACTAGCCGATTGGGCAATAGACCACAAGAGAGGATGATGCGTCAAAGAATCGGACGAAGCATCGATGGACCAATGACATGCCGGATAACATGATTCATGCTTAGTAATAATTATCTAGATCGAAGTGTGTTTTTATATGTGCAGGATTAACAACGATATCAAGCCATAAAGCAAAATGAAGTCCCGGAGTTAAGAACACGACTTCGTTGGGAGTTCGAGAGTTCATCAGAAGTCCATACGTTCGTCGGAAGTTCTATCAAAATTGACCGAGAAGTCCCAGAGCTTGCCAAAGAAGCTCATCATAACTCGCCAAGAAGATCATCATGAAGTCCAGGAGCTTGCCGGGAGTCCATTGCAACATTACCGAGAGATCATCGGAAGTTTATCGGAAGATCGCCAGAAGCTCACTAGAAGAAACCTAGACTTACGGACTTTATTTAGCTTAGTAAATGTCTTAAAATTCATAGTTAGCACATAATAGGGATTAGAATTGTGCCAACCCAATTAGGGGATAGTTGGGCCAAGTTTGGGCTATGTTGGGCCAAGAGAAAGGCCCAAATAGTGACTAAACAGGTGAAACCGTTGTGACACAGTCTCTGAGACTGTGTCAGGTGATAGTACCACTAGTCTGGGTAGTGGTACCGCCTAGTGTCCGACTGCAGGCGGTGGTACCACCCGTACCCTAAAATTTCGGGGGTTTGAATTTTGGGCTCCAAATTTGAATCCATTTGGGGCCTATAAATACCCTAGCTATTTCTGCATGGAAAAGAAAGAAATATTGAGCAAAACCCTGTGATTCTAAAGTTATAAACCATAGAAAGTTAAGCTCCCTCCTCCCAAAGCTTAGAGAGAGTTCTAAGGGAGGTGTGAGAGTGATGCCTTGTAAAATGAGGGTTGTAAAAGGTTGTCTCCTAAACCTGTGAAAAGGAGAAGAGGGGTATAAAAGGGTAGTTTGTCTTTGCCCATTGAAAAAAGACTGATAGTAGATGCCGGTGGCCTTGACAGAAGAGGAATCGATGAAGTGGATGTAGGTCACGACAACCGAATTACTATGAAAATCTAGTTTGCATTTCTCTCATGCAATTTACTTTACTGCAAACCACTTTACTTGCTTTACATCCACTATGCTCTTCTATACTCTTTCAAAGTTAATACCTTTATGAAATGATTTTTTATCAGAAACGGATTTAATCGCAATAAATTTTTGAACCGACGTAATTTTTACCGTTGCACTAATTCACCCCCCCACCCCCCCCACCTCTTAGTCTCGACTCTTTTCCTAACAATTAGTATCAGAGCCTCGTATTTCTCATTTGGTTTAACACCTAACAAAAATGGCTCTTTTCGACTTTCAAGAGGGTCACTCTCTCATTCGTCCTCCCTTTTTCAATGGGATGGACTACACATATTGGAAAACTCGAATGAGAGTTTTCTTGCTTTCTTTGGATTTGAACTTATGGAACATTGTTGAAAATGGTTTTCAAAGGTCTTCTTTTCCAATGAACCATTGGAATGATTTAGAGAAGAAGACATTTTCTTTAAATGCTAGAGCTATGAACGCTCTATTTTGTGCCTTAGACAAAAACGAGTTTAATTGGATTTCTACTTGCGAAATGGCTTTCAATATATGGCATACTCTCGAAATCACACATGAAGGCACTAATAGAGTAAAAGATTCTAAAACAAATCTTTTAATGCACGATTTTGAACTTTTTCAAATGAAGCCGAGCGAAACCATTGTTAACATGTACACCCGTTTTAGGGTTATCGTCAATGGTTTAAAAGCTCTTGGCAAATGCTTTTCTAATTTTGAACTCGTTAACAAGATTTTAAGATCACTTTCTAAGAATTAGGATTAAAAAATAATGGCTATACAAGAATCAAAAAATTTAAATACTTTTTTGATAGATGAACTTATCGGGTCTCTAATGACCTATGAAATGATGTACAATGCACGTAAAGAACTTGAGGACCATCTTCCAAAGAATAGGAAAGATTTCGGACTAAGAACAATCGAAGACCACTCGAGTATAAGGTCAAGTGATGGTGAACTTGAACTCCTCATGAAAATTTTAAAACAAGAATCAAAAATTAAGAACGAACTTAAAAAGAAGAAGAAGGCGACTTTAGACAAAGTGAGCTCATCCGAAAACAAGAAGAAAATCAACAAAGGCAATGTGGCAAACTACGCCTTAACGGCTTTATAGAATGAGGTAACCAAAACCCTTTGCCTTATTTCAAAATTATATAATACTATTCATGAGTTATTTTAGTTTAAAAAATTATTTTTCTTAAAAATTACTTGTTTAATAATATAATAAAAATGCTAAAAAATTGGGATCATGCTTATTGTTCTAGTAATTTTTAAAATGATCATGAAAATTTCATGTTTTATGATAAATGAATAAAAATGTTAGACTTAAATCTAATGATAATCCTATGTATATTTTAAGAAGCAATAAGGTATGTCTTGATGATTTTCGTATTGATTTTTGATTTTGTTGGAAATGATTTATGCTCAATAAAACATGATTGATAAACATGC